TAACTAATTTAACTATTTTTTACTTAAAGAACAAATATTATTTTATTAATAAAAATTTTACAATATAGCTTTTTAAAGTTTTTATTTTATATAATTTTGTAATATAAAAATTATTAAACTTTAATATTATAGATATAATCATTTGATTACTATATCAAGATTATGAAAGAATGTTTCTTACAAATTTTTTATGCAGAATAGATGATTAGTAAATTATTTTAGAAAAAAGAGTAATTGTTCTAGGTTTAATAATTATATACTGGTAATTATAAATAATGCAACAAAAAAAATTTAGTTATATTAGATTATCTTACAATTCTAGATGTATTTATTGATTTTTTTATTTTATTTACAAATAATATTTTTTACTAATTCTAAACTTTTAGTAGTTATTATTATTATTGATGCAAAAATAATTATACTTGTATTATGAAATATGTATTGTATTATTTTTGTTCATTTTTAACAAAGATTAGATTGCATAATTTGTGCTACAAAATAATATATAAAATGTAAATTTTTTTGTTGATTTTGCATTTTGTTTTATATTAGAATTAATTACTAATCAAACTAAAAAGAGATCTGTACAACTTCTGTCAAATAAGTTTAAATATTGCTTTCTTTTTAAAGAAGATACATTATAAGAGCAGTAGATTAGATGCATAATATTAGCTTTTCATAGTTTTGTGAATTACAAAAAGATAGTTAAAAAACTATTCACTTGAAAATTTAAGAAAAATTAGTTATTTAGTTTTGTTATATAAACTAACTCAGAGAAGAATAATAAATCTTATTATTTTCTATTACTGTTTCATCACTGTTAAAATAAAAACTTAACTTAATATAAATAAAAATATTAATATTTCTGTGTTTACTATTTACTGGATACTTTGAAGCTATGATTTAATGTTAAAAATAAAAAAAAACTCTATTTAAATAATAGTCATTACAAAATAAGACTTACTTTTGTAAAAAAAATATAAAAATTGAACTGTTAAGGATTGATCTAAGATAATTTGGTCAGATGAGTTAAGGTTTCAATTTTTGAGTCAAATAACAAGTAATACTATTAAAAGTATTATAAAGAATCATTAAAATCATTTTTTATCAAGTTTATTATGAAATATAACAATAGTTCAATTATGATTTAGAATTGCTTTATTTTTCATAATATAGGTAACTATTGAAAGATTAATAATATAATAGGTAATAAGTTATATCATTAGATACTTTATGAAAATTTGATATGAATAATTAGTAATTATAAATTTGAAATTGGTAAAATGATTTTTTAACAAGATAGAGTGTTTTGTTATACAGCAACCTTGACAAAACATTAGTTAAAAAAAATAAAATTAAGTTCTTTAACTAGTCTTCTTAATTACCTGATTTGAACTTAATAAAACACTTATAAGATGAAGTTAACCATTGTCTTAGAAACCTTTTTAATCAAATTTCAAGTAAGAAGAACCTCTGAAAAAAAATTCAAATGATTTGATAGACAATTAATATTGAAACCTACACAAGGTTAATTCATTTAATGCCAGAATAAATTTATGATGTAATTAAAGCCAAAGCAGATACATTAGATAGTGAAGGTTAAAAATAATTAAATAAAAAAATTTTTTTATATAAAAAGAATTTTTGTTTTACAGTCATGTTGCTGTGAAAATGAACAAAAATAATGCAATATAACAATTGAAATAAAGCTCATGCTCATAAAAAATTTTGATCACTAAATCTTTTGACCTTTTTGATTAATGAACATGTTACTATTTGTGAATAAAAAAAAAAAACTAACAGATATGCTCAGAATTGCATGAGATAATCCAATCTTACTAAATTTTTTTTTGTTGCATTACTTATGATTGCCAGTGTAAAAGTTGTAATTTTATCTTTGTAAAGGAATAAGAGCTTGAGTCAATAAATTACCCAATAAAATAAAACTAAAATTCCTTAAGTTCTCCAATAAGATGCTTCACTAAATCATCATAGTCACACCCTGGCGAATTGTATATTTATTCAATTCCGTCCATGACAATATAAAAAAGGGTAAAGAACTTGATCACTGTCCTGATTACTATCTCGATCATGAGAAGGTGGGTAAGACGTTATCCATATGATTTTGCAATAAGAAATGTCAGAGAAAAAAAGCAAATGACGTACTTCATAGTCTAGTCCAGTGTTGGCCCGGACATTGGACATGGACATTGGACCACCCATGTCCAATCCAGTCCACTCCATTGGACCAAAAAGCATTGGACATTGGACATTGCGTATTATATGGGTGCCGCCAAGTGAAAACCTGACATTCTAAAAATAGATTTCTATGGACAACGGAATGCGGAGTTTTAACTA